AGTAAAGGTAGTTAGTTAAGATAGAAAATGTCTTTTATGAAGCCATGTTCTGATTAGTCTTTAAGCCAGGATAACCTCCCAGTTAAATTTTCTGTTATTTATCACAATATACAATTATCTCCATCATCCCTGCATCACTTATGACAGAAAGATCAACAAAATCCCTTTGGAAGGGCATGGTCTAGATTTCTGTATCGTAAACAGTATTTTGAAATGTATTCACAGCCTGTGACAGAATATATAAAAATATATATACAGTTACAGCTGAGCTTTTAATATTACGGCATTAAAAAAAGAGGCTGAAACAGAATTAAATTGGGTTTCATGCCGTTTACAAAGGAGTTTGAACAACTTAAATAGCATTAAGATAAAAAAATAAAATTAACTTTATTTGATATTTTAATTCACTGCATGCGTAGCAAAATCCTGGAAAGTATTTAAACAGTTTACTTCTCAGAATGTTTATGGGTTTGAAGGCTGGGAAGAGATTTGATTTAGTTGCTGTCGAGTTGTGTTGTTTCACTGGAGCCGAAATCAAATAAGAGAACAGCATCCTCGTCTCCATGGTTGAAATGATTGATGTTTTTACTGACAGCCCCGCTGTGTTTGCAGAGGTGTGCACAGGCACGGTGCTTACTTTGTATTTCCAGAACAAAACCAAACAGAACAGATTTACTGGGATCAGTGAGTCTGTGGGTGTTCAACATGATGTGTTGTTGTGTTGCACCGATGCATGTGTGTGTGAGTTTGTGTTCCCTGCTGCAGCTGAAACTGTCGTTTCACCTGGGAAAACCTGACCGGGTCTGAGTGGCTCCGAGCTGAGGTTCGGACTGAGGTCAGCAGGTTGACCCCTCAGGATTCAGGCTGCTCCAGATCAGACGTTCCTCCTGGAAATGAACTGCAGGAACAGGCAGCTGATGAAGGAACCGGGTTGAATGTGATCCATATTTTGTGCTCATCAATTTTTCTTAAAGTTTAAATAAAAGATCCAAGTTTGTGGTTCTGATTAAATCATCAGAGACATCCTGTCCAACAGGGATGTTTGGTTCTCTAAACAGATTCCTATTAATGAGGGTGTTCCCTCTGAGTGAGAAGCTGGAGTTCTGCTATCATGAACTGAACTGGTTCAGAGTCTGACCCATCAGGCTTGCCGTACTAAAGCAAAATTAAATCCAATCAGTTTATTTTATAGCGCCACTTTAAAACACATTAACTCAAAAAATCTGATCATCCAGGCATACTGGCAAAAAGTTTTCTATCTAAAAAAGCCTGACTTATGGCATAAAATTGTCGACTTTGCAGGATTCAATTCTCCTGGATTGGATGGTTGCTTGTATATTGTCAGTGGCTTTGCAGCAATCCCTCCTACTGAGCAGCAGCAGAAAGGAAAACCCCACTTTGACAGGATGAAACCTCCAGCAGATCTGGGCTCAGAGTGAGCGGCCTTCTGCCACCAACTACTGAGACTTTGAGTAAACAGGGGAGACACACTAAAGGAATACAGATGCAGTGAACCAGCAGCACTTTCTATGTGATAGAAAAGATGTAGAAAATATATTTCTTAACTTTCCTTGATGGGCCCTTGGCTGGTCCCCTAAGATTCCTTTTTTAAAAATCAATCTTTGTTCTAAAATATTCTCTCTGTCATGATTTGTGGACATTAAGCTTTTTTATCCTGGTCAGACCCTGTAATTCAGTGAAAGGGTGGAGTCAGAGTAAAAAAAAATATGCACACCCAGTGGCTGGAAGTCGGCTGCCATTCGGCTGGTGTTTGACTGCACTGCAAAAAATTGAAATCTAATTAAGTAATTTTTGCTTAAAATAAGTTTTTTTTCTTGAATTAAGCAGGTAAGGGAGAGACTTTGCCAATAGAAATGTCAGGAATCCGGTTTTTGTGGGTTGTGTCTGTGTTTCCTGTTTTCCTCCACCAGGTGGCGCCCCGTCCTCATTGGGCCTCCCTGCACACCTGCAGCCCGTTGCCTCATTACCTGTGGAGTGTTTATGAGCTGCTGACTGCCACTACCTTGGGGCCAGAGTGTTGCTAATACTGGGAAGTCATCCTGCAAACTGGATTTCTCGGACCTTCTCTCCCTGGAAGGATCTACTAAGCTTCAAACTGAGCTGGGGTTCAAAAGGAGGTTTGCATCCATTTTCCCCAAGAGATCATTTGAGCTTCGCACTGAGAAAGGGATTACTCTCCACTACGACCCGTTCAAGTACCGCAGGAAATCTGAATGGCAGTCAGCTTTCTCCGTTCACCAAGGAACAACCGCAGTCTGAGTAAACCCTGTCCGCCCAACATCAAACAATATCACTGGAACATCCCACACAGACTGGATTCTATTAAGGACACCTTTTGTTGGAAACGTGAGTCTGCAACCTATTCCTTCTCTTCAAGCCCAAGAATCTAATTTCCCACTGAGCCTGAACTAACCGCAGCGTCTTCCCCTCATCTTTCAGTTCCGGTTGAGCAGTGTCCAGAGCAGCAATGGACTCATGTCATTATTCTAATAAACCTGTTAAACTTTCCCCTGGTCTCTCTGTTTGGTCTTCTGCATTTTGGGTCAGACTTTTAGGAAAATCATGGCAAGAACAAGACAATTTGTATTTAAAATAAGAAAAAAAATATTGCATTGTCTTTAAGTGTGTAATATCTAGTTATCTTACTTTAGGAGTAAATATACTCATTCCAATGACAAATTGTCTTATTTATCTACTGAAATTAAGGGTAAATACACTTAATTTCAGAGAATTTTTCTAGATGGTTTTTGCAGTGTGGGAAGGGCCATTTTGAATTGATTATTGGGTTTATCTAGGGGGAAAATAAAGGTAGAAAATGATCTCTGAGCTAGTGTTTAAGTCTAGAATATGAAAGAGAATAGTAGTCAGGGTAAAATCTCAGCCAACAAATATATCTGAGCAAGGGCGTAGGTTTGATCTCAACTTTGGTAGGGACACTATTGGTCTCAAGTTGAATCGCACTGGAAAAACGATCTAGAAATAAGTAAAAATTTCTTAAATTTAGTGTATTTATCCTTAATTCAAGTAGCTAAATGAGAAAGTTTGCCAATGGGATGAGTACTTTTACTCTTAAAATATGTTAATTAGATATTATGCACTTGAAACAAGACAATGCAATTGTGTTTTTATTATTGTAAGTGTAAATTGTCTTGTTCCATTGGCAAAATGTCTCTTTTACCTCCTTAATCCAAGAACAAATGCACTTATTTTAAGAAAAAATTACTAGATTTAGATTTTTTCCAGTGTGGTCTGATGTAAAAAATATGCATGCTCCTATATTTTTTTTAATGCTTAACATTAGTATCAGGGCGCATTTCATTTAAAGAGAAAACAGCTTTTTTTTTGCTACATTTATACAAATTTTATCTGCACTACACACACAAGATGCTGTCAATGTTTGAAGCACCTGTTGCTCTGAATGATGTGAAATTGGGACAATTTAACACTTTGAAAAGGTTACATTTGAACTTACCAGTGACTAAAAGCAAAAGGTAAATATGTGCCTTTTTAACCAAATATAATCTTAATAGGTTTGTTTTATGTGTATGTATCAGACGATTTCTTTTGAAGAAATAGAATTGTGCAGAGGTAAACAGTGGTAAAACCCACTCTTATTTAATTTTTTTTTATCTGATATGTTGATATTCTTTGTATTGTAAAACAAAGTAAAAAAAAAAAACATATTCTAGGGACTGCAAATAGATTAATTGAATTTAAGAAGCGACTGCTGCAACAACACTGTATTGTAAACTATAAACATGTTATTTGCATAGGTAGGGACAAATAGGTCGGGCCAAAATTTTGGTAGGGACATGTCCCTATGGTCCCTATGCAAACCTACGCCCATGTATCTGAGAGAGTTTAAGCACTGGAACACAGAACCAGGTGGGTCATTTATAGACGGAGAGAAGCACGGTGTTGGCAGCAGCAATAGCCTGACAATGACAATGTCACAGATCAAGAAAATACTGTAGGAGCTATGGTGAAGAGGAAAAAAGAAACAGACGTCATTAGGTTCAAGTTGAGGTCATTTTAACCATCGTTACAACTATAGAAATGTTGAGGGTAAAAGGTAAGGAGAGTTAAAGGCTGGTTATCCTCCTGCAGCAGTGTGTCGCAGTGAGCTTGTCACAGATATTTTTGGTTTATTCCCAATATTGAAGCGTGGTCTGCGCTGTTATTCCACGCCACAACGCAAGAGGAACAATCAGGAACTAGCTGTGGGTCTAGATACGGCCGAGGCGGAAGAAGTGGGGGCAAGTTCGTTTGACAACGGAGGGACATGTGGACCAAAAAGAGCATAGATCCATGTGGAAAAAAGGGTCCCAATGTTCTCACGCACCTCGTTCTTCTAGCTGCTCCATCTTCACCAGTCGTTTTCCATAATGGCGGTCATACAAACAAAAGAAGCCAGTAAGGCACCAAACAGGAATACGCATTGACCAATCAGAGGCCATCTTTCTCCAATCTCTCAATCTTACTTCTCCTCTCTCATTTTCTCCAATGAAACTAGAAATTTAGAAGTAAACGTTTAAATTTCCTTTCATTTTGTAAAGTGTAACCATAGAGCTTTGGGTAGATTTCCTTTATTTAAGTCCTTTATTACAGCAAGAAGTCTTTGAATCCAGAAATGATTTAAAACATTCAGGTTTTTTATTGATATAAACTGCTCAACAGAAACTCCTCCTCTTCCTCAGGAGGAGGACAGGTGAACAGAGGAGGGAGGGGCTGGACAGGTGAGAGGGGATGAAGCCACCTTTGATGTTCATTTACGTCACGTGACATGAAGCTATAATTGCTTCATCCAGTCAGTAGGTTCATTGATCAGAGGCTGTTTAAAGTGCTGTCTAGTGTGTGTGTGTGTGTGTGTGTGTAGGGGAGGGAATGGGTAGCCGGACACCCCCCCCCCCCTCTCTCTCCTCTGATTGGCTGCCTCTCTCCTCCTCTCCTGCTGCCAGCGCCGCTCCTCTTCAGATCCAGGTTCAACCTGCGCATCTCGGACTCCAATCGGACCCAGATCAGAATAAGACTAGAACCTCTACGGATCAGTAGGATCAGAGTTTAGACTCTTCTGTCACATCAGCTCACTTTCATCCAACCCTTATTGGTTCGGATCTTTCTTTTTTCTTATTATTTTTTGCGGATATTTGATGTCGTTCTGTCCCGGTTCTGATCAAGATGTGCCGGATCAGCGCGCCCCGCACGAGGCTGTGAACGCAGGACCACGGCGTGCCGAAGCGCGCGCCCCCGGCCGTGCGCGTGAATGAAGAGATGGCGCTAAAAGTCCTGAGTCAGGTAGGACGGGAGCGCGCCGCCCGTGAGCGCGTTCGCGCTGTTGTAGAATCTCTGACCTTGTGAGGTCCAGAACCGGTTCCTAAAAAGACTGATTCGGTTCCAGATCCTGGAGAGACTGACGTGCACGCGCCCGCGCGCGCTACAGGAAAACAAACAAACATCTGATTCTATGTTTTACTTGGTAAACTGGTCCAAAACAGAACCAATAGTAGAACTAGAGCAGATTGTTTAAATGAAGGTTCTTCCCAGTGCTGGTTTTATTCTGGTTCCAGTTTCACTCAAACTGGGAAAACAATCTAGAAATAAGTAAAAAATTCTTAAATTAAGTATATTTTCTTGATTGAATAGGTAAATTAGATAATTTGCCAATGGAATGAGTATTTTTAATCTTAAAAAAGGATAAGTAGATAATTTGCTCTTGAAATAAGACAATGTAATTGTTTTTTCTTATTTTAAATGTAAATTGTCTTGTTCCATTGGCAAAGTGTCTCTTTTATCTCCTCAATTGAAGAACAAATGCACTTATTTTAAGAAAAAAATGACATATCTAGATTTAGATTTTTTCCAGGACAGTTTCTGGGTTCTTTCCACCATAAAGTGAAGCAGAAATGGTTTTAATCTTTAGAGGCTTTAATGTGTTTGAATGAGATTTGATGAATTCTCAATCAGAACATGAGGGTTCTGTCTGATTTAGAACCAGAGTAAATCAGAGGGATGGTTCTGTCCAGTGGGTTTCAGATAAACGTCTTTGACTCAAAGAGCTCTGTGGGCTACTCAGAACCGAAGAGCAAACAGATCCTGAACATCTAGATCAGGGGGAACCAATTAAAAATCAGTGAGGTCCAAATAAAGAAAACCATCAACTAGTAAAGGTCTGGAGACATTTTTATTTATAATCTGTTACTTTAAACAGAATTTAACACTGAAATAAGATGAGTTTTTTATGCATAATGTTATACATTGAATTTTTAAATAAAGACATAAAAAAAAGAACATTTTTCCTTTTTAAAATCTAAAGTGTTTTTTTTTTAAGTAGAGAACAACAATCATTCAGTTTGGTATATAGATACTTTCCTGATTCCCATATTTTCTTAAACCCCTGAACTGATGGTTTGTTATTTTCTTTCTTTTTTCTGTCTTAATGTTGGCAGTGGGCTTTAGGCTGCCCTGCAAGGCTTTAAACCTGGGTTTAACCGGAGACTAAGCCATTCTCAAGCACATATCAAGGAGCTCATTTTGAGCCTGGATCCAGATTTATTGTTGATTCTGTTCATGGTGGAGAATCCTGCTTCACAGCAGCAGGTTGAGCCAAACATCCTCTAAATGTGCAGGGTCATCTTTGAGCACGCCATTTCACTTTTCTTTCACCAGTTCACCGCAGTTCTTCCAGCAGTCCACACTTTCTCTGCTCTCTTTTTCTCATGGTCTTCTCCTTCTTTCCCATCGCCCGGCTTGCCACAGGTTTGCCTGCTGTGTCTAAAAGTAGCAGCAGCAGCAACCCAGACTGACAGCTCATTGGCTCATTTGGATTGACCCATATAACTCATAGATGTTTAATCTGAGGTTAGATGGAGAACATTTCATGTCTTTCCACGGATTCTTTATTGGATTCTGGTCTGGACTTTGACTAGGCCATTTTAACATATTAATATAAGGTTCTACTGTAATAATAACAACAATAATAATGTAGTAATGATTATACTACATAATCATTATTACATCAGCTACCACTGCTCCAGTCTCTGGTCTTCTGCAGTCGGACTGAAATAATTAATGGGATCAAATGATCAATGGATTATTTAAATAATAATCATCTAATTTAATAATCTATTAATTGTTAACTGGAGTATAGAGGCTCTAAAGTATGCCTTTACCTGATTGTAAAAAGAATATCAACATTTTGCATGTTAAGATAAATAAATAAAAAATGCTCCATCCAGAACTCCTGAAATGGAAAATATTTAGTTTCAACTGGTTTCACTTCATTAAAATCTTCTTTAAGGAACCTTTTGCTAACCGATTATTCATCGATTAATCGAAAAAAGAATCGACAGATTAATCGATTTGCAAAGCAATCGTTAGTTGCAGCCCTTTTCTGCTGCTTCTTCCAGGAGATCTGTAGACTGAAAAAATCATCTAGAAATAAGTAAAAATGTCTTAAATGAACTATATTTACCCTTAATTTGAGTAGGGAAATGAGATAATTTGCCAATGGAATGAGTATTTTTACTCTTAAAATAGGATAATTAGATAATTTGCACTTGAAATAAAAGAATGATGTTGTGTTTTCTTACTTTAAGTGTAACTTTTGTTGATCCATTGGCAAAATATCCCTTTTACCTCCTCAATCCAAGAACAAATGCACTTATTTTAAGAAAAAATGACTTATCTAGATATTGATTTCTTCCAGTGTAGTTTTACTTCCAGCCATCTTCCCATGAAGCTTTCCTTTCTCCAATGGGGAGTCCCTCATTTTTATTTATTTTGTCCAGTAAGTTCAGTTTTGGAAGCATCTGAGCAAAACGTCTGCTTCCACTAGAATGCTGTGTCTTCTAGTTTTTTATGGCTTCTTTCTTATATAACTTTTCAGATTTGCTTCACATAGACCTTTTCCCCTGACCCGTCTCATTTGTTTCTTGGTATTCATGATGCTGGTTGTTCTCTTATGTTCTTTAAAGAACATCTTAGGCCAGACATCAGAGAGCTTGGGTTTATACGCAGACCCTGCATAATGACATGGTGAGTTCTGGTGCTGGTTGGTGACCCTGGTTCTGATGAGGAGTTATAACACTATTCAGATCTCTATCTGTAAAAACTTCAACCAATCTAAAATGAGTTACTGGCTATTATGTAGCACAACAGGTGCTCTTTTTTCATTAACAGAACCTCTCAGAACATCTGTTCTCTGAGCTCTTTAAAGGTATTGTGGAGGATTTTCGTGCATTTTTGATAAGACCCGCCGTCTCCACTTTAAAAAAATTGCACATGCACAATCCTGCAGCCGCTCAAGAGAGGGATGGCCTATTAAACGTCTACGAGGGCGTGCACGAGCCGATTTCTCCTCGTGCACGCTCTGTTTAAAAGTTGCTGTTCTCATAGCTCATACAAGCTTACAGCGTCCAAACATCTGCTCTAACTCCTAAATCCCTCAATCACTTTATAGAGCGGTGACTTTATCAGCCTGGTGAGACCATCCTGATCTCGCGAGCTTTCAAGGTTTCACTCGCAGATCAGTCTGGCTACTTTCCTTTAAAGAAAATTTGGAGCCGTTCACCAAACGAACATCCAATCAGCGTTGGCTTTGAGGCGGGTTGAGGTGTGATGCAACGAGAAGCGCCACAGTTCAGTCTAAAGAACATGGCGGCTTCAGCCGATGAAACTAGCGTTAGCGTGGCTATCGAGCAAGTTTTATGGGAATTACAGAGTATTTCTTCACTGAAAGAAGAGCAAAACACTGCTCTGGAGGCTTTTCTCAGAGGAAAAGATGTTTTTGCTCTTCTCCCGACTGGTTTGGGCAAGAGTAGCCTGGCTGTTAGTACGTCATATGCTTCGTTGATCTGATTGGTTTATTTGGCCCGTCTATCACCAACATAGGCCAATCAGCTAACCAGTATTTTCGCCCCTTCCCAAAATTACTTCAACGGAAGGTTTCCAGATGGATATGCGGAGCAAATCCATCTGGCGGAGTCAGGTTAGGACTTTATAGTGAACTCATTTAACTGGCTGTTTGGACAGATCTTCACTGCTTTTTGCTCCATTGGTCAGGTAACTCCGCCTTCGGCATTTTTGTTATAAGTCACAGCTGTCGGGTAGCGGCAGCCTATGGCGACAGCGGTGACAGCAAATCCCATAATGCTTTGCAAGGAGAGCTCTCTGTGCAAAGCCGTCTGGGATATATCTGCCTCTTCTGAGGCCTTCCTTTTCTTCTCATACACTTCGTAGAAACTTTTTGTCTTACGACCCTCGGCCATTTTCAAAGAAGCGCAGTGAGAAAGGTGAGCTTCAATGATTGTCTGAAACCGTAGCTCACCACAGATATACGCCTGAAAGTACGCATGTGCAGAAAAAGATAGCTAACGGTACGAGCATGTTGGATGATTGACAGTTAGGAGGACCACTTATTAGAAATAAATGATTGTCCTCTGTACCTTTAACGTTCTAACTGCAGCTGAATGTCCAATTCACCAAAGGTTTACCTTTAATCCTCCTTTTGGTTTTATTTCCCCCATATTCCCCTTTGGTTCCTGTTCCTCCCTGTCCTGCTCTCGTCTTTGAGAACTCCCACCTTTGATCCTCTCAGCTCCTGAACATCAGCTAATCCACTTCAGGGAGTCTGGATCCGTTCCTCGGCTCAGCCTGAGTAGTGTTCATGTTTTGGCATCAGAGAGAGGACAATTTTTCTACCAAAAGGAGGACATTTTTCTTCACTCACTTCCTGTTTCACTAACAGGTTTAGGAATCAGGTGTGAATTTAGTTTAGGTTTATTTTAGGTTGAGGTGTGCACTGGTACTGGTTAGGTTTAGGGTTATTGTAGGGTTAGGAAATGAAAATCCCTGAGAATCAGTGGCGGGATGAGAATGTGTGTGTGTTTCTGCAGCAGATGGTCGGCTTCTGAATTTGTCTGCAGGGAGTCATAATGAGCTCCTAAAACAACCCATTCAGTTTCCAAACGATGGGATCACCGGGACATGGACCGAGGGACACATGGAGCGGGCCGACAGGGTCAGCAGAGCTTCAAATGAAAGAAAACCTGAACGGAACCGGAATAGAAGTAGATTCTTGGTTTGAGATAAACACAGATTTCTACGCTAATTTGGAAATGATTCAGTCTAATGTATAAAACAACAAAAATGTGTTTTTACAGATTCTATTTTCTTTTGTCCAAATGTCAATCCTTCCCTACTTCTCTGTAATATTTCTCTTCTTTTTTGTCGTCTTACTTGTTTCTTTCCCTTCTTCCTTTTCATTTTTCTTCCTTTCCCTTTATTATTTTTCTTAT